GATGTCCAAGGTAGTTCTTACAGTATTCCTCATTTGTCTTTTAGGTAAAACACCATTTTGATCTGGGTGTATCACGTCTGTTAAATACTTCTTTAATCTTTCTGCCATTATGGAGGCAAAAATTTTGTAATCCACATTTAATAGTGATATAGGTCTATAGTTTTGAATTTGTGTGAAGTCTGTGTCTTCTTTCGGTATTAATGTAATATTTGCCTCTGTCCAAGTATTTGGTATTTTAGCATCTGACAATGCTGCATTACATATATCCTTAAGAAGTATAGAGAAGATTCCTTCAAAGGATTTATAAAACTCTGCTGGTAGCCCATCCGGGTCTGGAGTTTTGTCATTCTTTTGTCACCTAATTGCCTACATTACTTCTGTGATTGTTACTTCTGCATTCAATACATTTTGGTATTTCTTCGGTAGCATTGGTAAATCTCCCTTTCGGATATATTCATTTATTTTCTCAGTTGGAGTCTCATCATTCTGATACAGCTTTGTGAAAAAGTCTTGCACTATTTTCTTAATATATATACTGTGTACTTGCAGTCATCCTTCTCCATCCTTACTTATGGAGTTACTTATTAGTCTCTTCTCTCTTTCCTTCTTTACTTTATAAGCTAACCGTCTCCTGGTTTATTAGCATTTTCGAAGAAGTTCTTTTTAGTCAATTTCATTTGCTTGGTAAGTTCATTTGTATCCAAGAGGTTCAGCTTATGTTTTAGAATATTCATTTGTACCTTAAGGTCTGTTTTGGATGGATCTTCCTGTTGTTCCTGTTCACATTTCATCAATCCCTCTACTATATTAGATCGTTCCTGCTTTCTCCTTTTCTTTATTTTTGCTGAATATGTTATTATCAACCCTCTGACATAGGCTTTGGTTGCATCTCAGACATTTTGCAAGGAAGTTTTTTCAATTTTATTAATTTGAAAGAATGTTTCCATTTCCTTATTTATCTCTTCTTTGAATTTTTTATCCTTTAATAAAGCTTTATTTACCCTCCATCTGGGAGTTTTTACTACCCCTTTCAATGTCATTGTTACAGGGTTATGAACTGCCCAGACATTTGTATCTATTTCAGCTTCTAGCAGATCTGGTACTGGGTCTGGGGTTATCCAAATCATATCAATTCTAGACCATGACCTATGTCTATTCGAGTAGGAAGTATATTTAGTAGAGGTTGGATTTTTATGTCTCCAGACATCTATCAATCTAAATTCTACAATCATATTAAAATAGGACTTTGGAAGTATAGCCCTGCCTTTTCTGTCCTTAGTCTCACTCTTATGGTCCATTTTCTTGTCCATAATTGCATTGAAGTCTCCCATTAAGCTCACTGTCTGGTAGTCCAATTGTGAGAGTAAAGCATGTAGTCTTTGGCAAAACCTTTCCTGATGGCCATTTGGAGCATAAATTGTAGCCAGAAGCACCTTTTTAAGTTTCGTTGTGATTTCAACCATCAGAATCCTACCATCATCATCATCAGCTAATATATATTTAGGGACTAATTTTTCCTTGATGTATAATGCTAACTCTCTTTTCTTTTGAGAAGTGGAAGATATTAATAGTTTTCCAAGCTTTGAGCATTCCAAAAGCTTACTATGTTGTTTCTTAATATGTGTTTCTTGCAGGCAAATTATAACTAATTTATGTTTTTGAAGTTGAGAGAGAATCCTTCTCCTTTTAGAGGGTCCATTTAGTCCATTTACATTTAAAGAGAGCAGTTCTAGTCTTCCTTCCATTTTGAAAGCCATTTTAAAGGGTATATATTTATCTACTTATGCTTCGCCTTTACACTTCTACCTTTTTTCTTTTCTTTTGGTTCCAATGTCTGTTCATCTTGTTGTAAGCCTGTATTCACTATTTCTCCTTCTTCAGGATGGTATGCTTTTAATTCCATTGATTCAACACCTTTCCCTCCTTTTGAAACATCTGATTCTTCATCTTCAAATGTGCTTCTAAATTTTTCATAACACTCTTGTGCCTTTAAGATTGAGTCCAGCTTATATCTTGCAGAGTTCCAGGTGAAAAATGTTTCTTCTGGTGTTAGCCACCTAAACATGATCTCTTTCTTAATCAGTTTCGTGGTAAGGAATAGGTATTTCTTTCATCCTTCTCTAATCTTCCATGGAATTTGTTTCAAAACAGTCACCTCCTGATGATCATCAGCCTTTAAAGGTTTATCATGTACAGCCCTCCAGTAATTACCTCTTACAGACCATTTTGCAAATTCAACATGAACTTCCCTAGGAAGTTTGTGTCTCCTAACATAACTTGAATTCACCCTATAAACTAGGTCAATATTTTTATCCACCTCTTCATTTTCCAGATCCAAGGCATCTGCAAGCATAGTAACTATTAATTCCCTTAAGTCCTCATTCTTTCCCTCTGGTATGTTCGGAAATCTTAGATAATTGGATGCCTTCTCCATCTCTAATATAGTGAGTGAGTTCCAGAATGACTTGTTTGTTTTAATAATTGTGTTTCTTGGTCTACTGTTTCATGGGCTTGTTGTATTTTTCGTGTATTCTGTTTAGTTTTAAGTTGAACATCTGCCAGTTGGTTTGATACCTCCTTAACAGAGCTATCCAATTTGTCAAGATGTTCTCTTTGTTCAGTTGCTATGCTCTTCTGCTCTAAGCTTAATTTTAATAAAGAGTTTTGCATAGCCTCTTGGGGTGCTTGCATAGATGTTAGAGATGTTTGTATCACCAAAAGAGTCATTTGTAAATCTTTTTGGTATTTTTTGGCATCTGCAGCTTTGGACTGGTGAGTTGGACTCTGGACAGCTGATGTAGGTGCCAAAGAGGAGGAAGGGTTTTTTTTTTTCATAGTGATAGTAGGTTTTTGCTAATAATTACAAGATGACAACAGAAAAGAGAAGTGGGGGGAAACTCCTAGGGAAAAGGGAAAGGAGAAGGCTTGTTTGATACACAGTACATCTGTTATAATTCAAATGGCCACAGGGTGGCAGCAAGTAGTTATTTTGCTTGCTTGTCTTTATGTGATGTAACAAAAAAGAAAATGAAAAAAATGAAGTCCAGCCAACGAGATAACAAAACAAAAGTAGTTTTTCCATCACTTATTCTACAATAGTTTTTTATTTTGATTCTTCATCTTTAAGGAGATTAACAAAAACCCTTCTTTTCCAGCCTCACGTTTTCCAAATCTCAGTTCCTCTCCCCTAGATTAGTCACTGCTTAAACTCTGTGGGGAGGGGGAATTCCTCCCTCCGTCAAGAGGGCTCTTCTTTTTTCTTTATCCCAATTAGTATTTGCTTCAAGTTCTTTCACTGGTAGTATTTGAAATGGTAGAAATGCTCACCCAGCAGGTACAATGCATGTCAAGCTGTTGCTCTATGCTATATCTGGTCTTCTATGGCTTGAAGGGAGCAGATCTCTCCCTTGTATTGTTTGATTCAGAAAATCCTGAGTATTTCTCAGTAAATTTGGAGCCACCGCCCCACATCAGCCAGAAGTACGCTCGGGCTTCTGTGCCCTGCCCCGACAGGGCTTCGATGAGCCTCTCACAGCTCGCTGTCAAACAAGTTACCGGTGTGATTTACAGGAGCCCCCGTTCTTTACAGTCATCTTGCCGCAACGCCAACTGGAAGTCTCTCCAGAAACTTTTGTTCCCTGTTGGGGGTTGAATTTTCTTGTACATTTGTTTCTCCCTCTTTGGTACTTCCAGTCAAAATCATCCTGCAGTCTTTTCCTTCCACTTACAAAGACACTCACAGTTCCCTAAAGGTCCCCCAAGAAACACTGGGTGACTTGCAACAAAGGAGCTTTCTTCAACTAGAGGATCTTTTTGACCTTGTGTTTCCTCTTCTGGAAGAGCTGAGAAAGGCCTTCTCCTCATGATGGCTCTGCAAGACTTCTCATCAGAAGGCTGCTGGGGTGGGTTGCTGGGTCCAGAGGATTATGCATGCAAGGATGCCACTGGTGTTTGGGGTATGGGGATTCACAGATGCACAGGAAGAAGGAAGCAAAGGCATGTGTTTTAAATCTTCATTTTCTGAAATGGACAGGGGACAGATCTTTAGGGAGCTCAAGAGGAATACACAGAATCCATGATGTACTTACTTAAAACAGTTTTAGTTAAGGAATATAAAGTATAAAAATGAATGCATCTTCAAATATGCTAAATGTGAAATGCCATGTCCTTAAAGAATCCTGTGTGTCATTATTCAGAATAATTATTTCAAGAAATTTTCCTTCAATAAATTCAAGGTGCTATATGCAATTCTCCTCCTCCTCTTCCTCCTCCTCCTCCTCCTCTCAATTCAATCCTTAAAACAACCCTGTGAGTTGGCTGTGCCGAGAGTATGTGGCCACCCCAAGGTTACTCAATGAAGTCCATGGCTGAGTCAGAATTAGCGTCTTGCTCACCTGTTTACTGTACAATGTAGACTCCAAGTCAGGCAGATGTTGCCAGTTGTGGAATTCTGCCTACCAGACCATGAGGGCTGACTTTCCTCTGTGTACCAGAACACCCCCACCCCAGTTTTCTTCCTCTTCTTTCCCACCCTGATGACCTATGTGATGAAGAACTACCTCAGAACTCTGAGAACCTCCCAGAGCAATATGCACACACAAGGATACCCTCTTGGAAGGTTCTCCTGAGCAGAAGCAGCCAAATGTTGAATGTGTCATACCATCCTAGCACACTTGGTTCCTATATGGTTCTATTCATGGGTGCAGGAAACTTGATGCAGCTACTAAGTAGGGAGGACTAGAAAGGGATAGTAAGGAGGTGCCAGTGCCTTTGCACAATCATCTTCTCTGGGGCCTTGTACCTCCACATTTCACCTGGATAAGTGTATCAACTGCTCCCAATTCTTCAGTCTTGTCCAAGATGTTCCTCTGATAAGCTCATGGAAGCCTGCTGGCCTTTGTGGAGTCAAAGGGCATAGAAAGAGCTTCTGGTAGTTAAAATTTCTACATTGGAAAGAATGTCACAGAAGATGAGCTGACTGGTAGTAGTGGAGGTTGGGAATGAATTCCAACAGTGCACACGAAGAAGGCTTGGGTGCACTGGATGGTAATGCAGTCAATGCAGGTGCTCAATTCATTTTGAGGGCCTGGGAGGATGGCCAGATGAATCTTGGATGTGTGTTTAGTACTAGGGGAATCCAGTGGAGTCATGCAATGTTGCATCATACCCCTCCACAGAAGCAGCATTGCAATGAACTTGTCTGGAAACAGCTGGGAGCATGCTTTGACCTAGCAATGCTTGTTGTGGGCTCTCATGATCTTGTGGAACTTGTACAGGCCATGCAACTGCTCCTTGCCCATTTCATACTTGCAAAAGCTAATCCGTAACAGCAGGAAACAGGGAGTAGGGGCGGGGGGGGGGTGTCACACAAAAACCATGGCAGACCACGCAGGAGTCTTGGAGGGATTGTGCAAACCCAGTCACATTCTGCAGAGGCTTTCATTCAGCCATTCCTATATTATTTCACAAGGCAGTCTAAGCACCCTAATGAGATGTGTAAGGGAGCGAGTCCTTGCCAGGGTCAAACATTTTTTGGTGATGGAGTTTATTCATGATTGCAAGGACAGACATGCAGCAATTTGTCTAAACCACTTTTAAAAGTGTCTCAGTTTCGTTGGATGCCATGATAACATAGAAATACAGCAAGCAAGAAGGGGTCTCCCGGGCCATCTAGTCTGACCCAAGGCTCCAGCCGGCTCAGCTCATGACATGTCCACCATGGGCACGTCTAGCCTTTGCTTGAACACCCTCACCAAAGGTGGCTGATGACAGTAACTTAAGTCAGTAAGTTGCTTGGCCTGGAGAATGAAGGGGCAGAGAAAGTCCATACACTGCAGGATAGCACTATCTATTGTTAATCACAACAATAGAATACCACTACTTTTACTCCCCATTGCAATAGTAGTAATAAAAAGAACAACAACAACAAACTAAAATGTAAAGAACAGAGACTGGAATTGATGTCAGGGTGCTGGTTCTCTTGCTTTTAACAGATGCTGAAGTTTGCCTGAAGTGTCCAGAAGATCAGCATCCAAACAAGGCCCAGGATCAGTGCATCCCCAAGGTCATCACCTTCCTTTCATTTGAAGAATATTTGGGGGCATTCCTCTCCTGCCTAGCTCTTCTGTTGTCCATAGCTACAGGAAGCATTTTGGGACTCTTCAAGAAATACCAAGAAACTCCAGTAGTCAAGGCGAACAACCGAGACCTGTCCTACATTCTCCTGTTCTCCCTCCTGCTTTGCTTTGCATGCTCTTTCCTCTTCATTGGTCAGCCTAGCGGCATCACCTGCCTCCTCCGACAAACAGCCTTCAGCATCATCTTCTCAGTGGCCGTCTCTTCCCTCCTGGCCAAAACAGTCACCGTGGTGCTGGTCTTTCTGGCCACCAAACCAGGCAACAAGGCAAGGAACTGGCTGGGGAAGAGTTTGGCCAATTCAATTGTCATCTCCTGTTCCATTGTGCAAGTTGTCATCTGCACCATCTGGCTGGGCACCTTTCGGCCGTTTCCTGACTCTGACATGCACTCCCAGGCTGGACACATCATCCTGCTGTGCAACGAAGGCTCTGCGGCCATGTTCTACGTTGCCCTTGGCTACATGGGCTTCCTGGCTGCAGTCTGCTTCACAGTGGCCTTCCTGGCCAGGAAGCTGCCCGAGTCCTTCAATGAGGCCAAGCTAATCACCTTCAGTATGCTGGTCTTCTGCAGCGTCTGGGTGTCCTTCGTGCCCACCTATCTGAGCACCAAGGGCAAGTACATGGTGGCAGTGCAGGTCTTCTCCATCTTGGCCTCCGGTGCTGGGTTGCTGGGCTGCATCTTCCTCCCCAAGTGCTACATTATTCTAATGAGGCCTGAACTGAATACCAAGGATCATCTCATGATAAAAAGCAAAGCATAAATTTTATTTGTAGTGTTCATCAGCAGCTCAATTTTCAGACATCCATGAACCATCCCGTGAAAAAAGGAAGAAGGAAAGGGTGTAGGAACGAGAGAGAGGGAGGGAGTGAGGGAGTGAATACTTTAGCTTTGCATATTGCATTTTAATTTTTCTACCAACGGCTACTGTTTCCTTTCCATTATTCCTTTCATGCTTTATTTTGAAATTTTATTTATTTATTTATTTATTTAGGAGACTTCTATGCCGCCCCATTTGCCGAAGCCTCTGGGTGGCTCACAAATGTTTTGAGAAGTACATGGATTGGCTGGAATTTGAGAGGGGGAAATGGAGTGCAGCATCTCCATTGAAATGGAGTTTTGAAAACATTTTTTTTTTCCACTGGGAGAAATTTTGGCATGAGGAAAGTGAGGAGATTAAAACTCCCTTCCCAAAGCTCCTTGGACTTGGATCTCTTTGAACAGCACTACTCAATCACAAAAATTAACCAGAAGATTCTTCTGGGAGCACTCATGGCCTTGGTGGGCATCCAGGCTGCTAGGATTTGGCTGCTCATTGTGAAGTTTTCCAATTTCATGCAACCCTGAGACAGCTGCCTAGATAACATGTCTGGAAGCATGGCTTATTTCCAAGCTTGCAGCCATGTGATGGGCCAGCAAGAAAGTCCCAATTATGAGCTCTGTTTGTGGCTGAGGAGGTGGTTCAGGGAGGGTGAGTGGCCTGGGTACTCATCAGTCCTCCTGCTCCACCACATGCTGCTGCAATATCTCCTCCAGCTTTGCATTATAACATGAGGAAGCATCTCCAACTCCCTTTTCCCACCTCTGCTCATCCCCTCAAGTTTTCCCTTTCAAAGCTGCGCTGCCACCTTAGGAGTTTTGCTATGTTTGGAATGAGGCAAGGAAAAAGCCATAGGTCTGATTGACAAGGACATGGTAACTGTAGAAATGGAGCAGACGACAGAGAGAAGAAGCTTTGATGGGCCTGCAAGCTTGGAAA